GGACAGAATAACTATTAAAGGAGTTTAGAGAACTGCAAATAGGGAAAGTTTCAGGTATGCTTTAAAGATGTCATCGAAACAAAACAAAACAAAACATGTTTCCTGGTGATCTCAGTTTATGGAAATTATACCAGACTGAAGATTTGCATATTAGCATTAACAAGATTTACAGTGTATATTAGTATTTTTTAAAGGGTCTAAGGAGCTCATAAATAGAGTTGCTTTATTTTGTTCAATCCAACATTTCCCAAGCTTATTCAATCATAAAACATTTTTCTTTTCAATAGTAATGCCTATACCTTGGGAAATATTGATGTTGGTGAAAAATAGAAAACAAGATCAAAAGATGGTTGGAGACCATAAAGGGTCTTAAATCATAAGGATAGATCATATAAAGAATAAGTTCTTAAAGACATAAGAAGTCATCTTGTAGGTCAGGTATGAGCAGTTTTAAGCAGGGCAATGATATAAAATGTTCCATTTTAGAGTGAGTACTCTGGCAAATATGAGAAAGACATATTGGGCTGTAGGATGATGTAAATGGCGAGGGGCGTTGTAGGGGGAATAAAGAGTTATGAAAATGAAGGTACAGAGCTAAATTAAGAAATGAGGTCCAGGGGACTCCCCTGGTGGTCCAGTGGGTAAGACTCCATGCTCCCAATGCAGGGGGTCCGGGTTCGATCCCTGGTTGGGGAACTAGATCCCACATGCATGCCGTAACTAAGAGTTCGCATGGTGCAACTAAGAGTCTGCATGCCACAACTAAGAAGTCCGCATGTCGCAACGAAGAAACCTGCATGCTGCAACGAAGATCCCGCGTGCTGCAACTAAGACCTGGAGCATCCAAAATAAATAAATAAATAAACATTGTTTTTAAAAGCTCCCCATCTCCACCTTTAGGGCCTCCCTGGTGGCGCAGTGGTTGAGAGTCTGCCTGCCGATGCAGGGGACACGGGTTCAGGCCCCGGTCCGGGAGGATCCCACATGCTGTGGAGCAGCTGGGCCTGTGAGCCATGGCCGCTGAGCCTGAGCGTCCGGAGCCTGTACTCCGCAACGGGAGAGGCCACAACAGTGAGAGGCCCGCGTACTGCCAAAAAAAAAAAAAAAAAAAAAAGCTCCCCATCTCCACCTTTAAAAAATAAATTAATTAATTATATTTTTTAAAAGAAAGAGAGAGAGAAGAGGTTCAGGAAGGCTTCAGAAAGTGAAAATCCTCCCTCACTGACTGAGAAATCTGTCTTGTTCAGGGAGCTTGCTCTTCCCTCATAAAAGTGTTACGAGACAAACAGAAGCTTCCTGTTTATGGGATAATCCAGTCCAGTTATCTAGGATGGCCAATAAGTGATACTACCTTCTGGGGTCAGGTGGGATGGGGGTCTCTGCAGGAGACAGAGGCAGCAATGAGAGGCTGGAGTGGTGGACCTGCACAAAGAATTTAGGTCAAGACAGCCTTATCTCCTGTTCTTCTGTAAAGAAGATCTGCCCCCTGTATGCCAGGAAATATTCTGTCGTCTCCTTTGCTCACCCCTCAGTCTTCTAGAGATTCTGAAGGGGTTTAAAGATAGGCAACAGGGCACTTGAGAGGAAAACATTACATGTTTACATGATTTGGAGGTTTCTGAAAAGACCTTGTGCTTAAGTAGAGACTCTAAGGGGTAGCATATCAACTGTACCATTTATCAGCTGTGAGACACTGGGTCCCACACTTAAACTTTTCTGAACTGGCTTCTCTTTTATAAAATGAGTTTACCACCATCTACCTGTATGAAACTAAAATGAAATTATTTCTGAATGAAGTTACAGTCTGAAGATTATAAAGGACTATAAAAATGTCAGTTATCTGTATTCTGAGTTAATTTTATCTCATTTGAAAGTATGTTTTAAAGATTACACTTGGTGGGAATTCCCTGGGAATCCAGTGATTAAGACTCGGCACTTTCACTGCCGTGGGCCCGGGTTCCATCCCTGGTCTGGGAACTAAGATCCCACAGTCTCGCACAGCAAAAAAAAAAAAAAAAATTGCACTTGGTAATATTGTACTTAATAATATTAATAATAATGTGAATGTTTTCCCATAGAAATCAGTTCCCTTATTTATGAATAAAATAAAATTGTATTTAAGTATGAAAAAAGAAATATTCAAGATTCTTTTCTCTGTTCCACAAATATTTTATAAACAAATAATGAATCGTTTAACATATAGTGTTCTTATTATCGTGAGTGATCACAGTAAAACTAACGATCAGATCACTTATATGCTCCCCTCACCCTACCAAATACACACATATACACACAGAGAGCAAAAAGGAACTTGATAAATTTGGCTGGCAGGAACTTAATCTGCAGGCAGTAAAGATGGTCAGGTATGAGAAGACACAATTGGGGTCTTAGGCTTCTCTTCTAGTTCTCATCCATGATTTCTACCTGACCCAGAAGAATAGAACAGTTTGACTAAAACAAAACAAGTTATTTTTCTCATGACATTAAAAAGAGGTGGCAAAACCACTGGCCACATCCCCACCTATTTGGGAAGTGACAGAAATTTAAAGTTACTCCCTGTTTATCTCCCTGTTTATCTAACACCTTCAACTGAATTCTCAAAACACTCTGAAAATATCAATTAGGCCTCTCAAGTAAGGAAAGGATTAGGCCTATTTCAGGTAAGAAAAATAAAGTATGTAATAGCCTGTTAACAATAAGAATCAGAAGAGAAACCAGATTCTAGCATTTTTGGCTCTCTCAACATTGTCCTTAGGCCACACTTGATGAAATGACCCAAACAGTAGCATCCCCAATAATGCTGATAAGCCTATGCTTTTTATGCTTTGAGAGAAAAGAATACTGGCCTTGGTTGGAATTAAGACCAGTGTTCCAAGCCTGATTCCACCACCCACTAGTTATATGACCCTAAACAAGTCACTCAATTCATTTAAACTTCAGTTTCCTTACCTGTAAAACAAGATCAAATCTATCTTACAATGTTGCAGGGATCAAATTAAATTATGTATGCCTGACACATAGATACTCAGATGCTAGCTTGCTTGCTTTTCCCAGACTTCACCTTCTTTAAACCCACAGATAACACATTTAAAGATTATATTAAAATTGTTAGTTTTTTAACTAATTAAAAAAAACCTCTGGATGGTAGTAATCCACTACTTGGCTAAAATAAGAAATGGCCTAATTTTTTAATAACTTCCAAATCAGTAATGGTTTAGAGTTGTCATCAAGATTGTAAATTAATTCCTGTTCATTTTTATTGATGTGAGCAAAGACAGAGATTGACTTCAGAGAAATAAAAACAAAAAGAGAACTTTTCCAGAAATATAATGAGTGATGCCACATTTCTCAGTTAAAATTCAAGGAAATTCACATCTGAAAAAGGAGTTAATATATTATTCCAAAGTTAACCAAGCAGTGTTCTCTTAAGTAAATATTCCTTTGGTTCAGAAAATAGATCAATAGTGTCTGTAAAACTTCAATACCATGTAAATTAACCTCTTAAGGCTAGGAAGATCACCAGATGTCCAGATATAAGCAAACTTTTCCAAGAGCCTAAGAGGTTCTTTCTGATACTTATTAACTGAAAGTGAAAGCGACCTACCATAGTTAAATGCCCCAACCTTTGACCACAACACTTCAAAGTAATTTAGAAACCCCAACTCAGTGAGCTTAAATAACACATCCATCTCTAAACAAGTTTGTCAGAACAGAAAAATAGAAGAAAATAACTCATCTTACTCCCCTAGACACTCTAAGTCGGCTTCTTTTGAAGGAGACAAATAGCAGAATCACGGAAATCTTAAAAGCCTTGATATATAGGCTACAATTAAGAGCCTTTCTTAACTCCTTTGAAAGAAACGAACACTCAGCTTTTTACTAGGAATCCCTAGCATCTTTTTGTCCTCAAAACATGACACACAAGAATAAAATGATCTGTCCAAGGTCGCAGAGCAGGTAATGGCACAGTCTGACGCCCCTCTTTGCTGCATGCAATCATTCATGGGATGTACTGACAGTAACACACAATCAGATTTTAAAAGGTAAGGGTCGGGGGTGGGGGGTGGGGGTCGGGGGCGGTGTCCACTGAATGCTCCAGATAGTGAAATCTGGTAGTATTATGTCTCTGCATCTACTGCCTATTTTCTCACTGACCTTAAAAAGTCGGCATACATGGTGCATCGTCAAGAACTCAAGATCAGAGGAGCTGGGAAACACATTTTCTCCTACCATGTCAACCTCTGGGCATCCTTTTCAGTGCCCCGTTGCTTCTCTGGACAAAGAAAGGGTCTGTCCACTCTGCACCCTGCCCAAGACAGCAGTGTAAGAACCACAGGGTGCCCCCCAAGAGCTTGGCACAGAAGACACACCACAATGCCCAGGGTGCCCCCAGAGCGCTGCCTGGGAGCTGTCCTTTCCCGTTAGTGCCATTTCAGTCACCTGCATTCCAACTTTCAGCAGTGGTGGGCAGAAAGAACAGCCCTCCTCCCGAAACGCTGCAAAGTATGCCCCAGTCAAATGGACACACCCCGCCAAAGCGCTGCCCCCTCAGAATGATATCCTCATTCCATCCTTTGCCAGATATCCCCTCCCCATCCTCATTAAGACATATCCCCTACCTCTGGACAGAGGGGCATTCACCCGACCAAAAACGGCCTCTCCCTGCCTCCTGACTTGATGGACAGCTCCCTTCTCACCGACTGCTCAGCCCCCACTTCAAGCCCTCGGGCAGTGGTGGGGTGTTGGGTGCGTTTACCCTACTCTTCTGGGCGTGCGGATGGTTAGCGGTTACCGGCTCTCCGCAGTTGCCGCCTGGCCCTCCCTCCCCCTGGTCATCCTTCACCTCTCCCTCCACGCTGGGACACACACACACACACACACACACACACACACGGTGCGCAAAGGACGGCCCCTGGGGCCGGTCACACGCGGTGACCAGCCCCAGGCCCCAGGTTCCCTCCGCCGCGGCCACCGCCCCCGGGCCACGCCCCCGCTCTCACCCGCAGTCCGGGGCCGGGCACCAGCGGCAGTCGGGGTCCGAGGCCAGGTAGCGGCGCAGCATGAACTCCTCGTACTTGTGCATGAGCGGTGGGTCGGCGAGCAGCAGGCGGATGTCGTGTGGGTTCAGTCGCTCGCTGCACTCGGGGCAGCTGATGGGGACCCGGCTCTCGCTGATCTCCAGGCGCAGGTAGTGGCGGAGGCAGTCCCGGCACGAGCGGTGCGGACAACTGAGGAGGCGCGGGGCCCGCTCGGGCGGCAGCCGCACCAGGCACAGAGGACACTCCACCTCCTCCGGGCCCGAGCCGCCGCCCTCCGCCGCCTCCTCATCGTCTAACCCGGGCCCCACCGTCGCCGCGGCCTCCGCCTCGGCCTCGGCGGCCGGCTCGGCGGGCAGCGCCTCAGGCGGCGGGGCCTGGGCCGCGGCAGGGGCCGGGGCGGGCGGCGGCGGCGCGGCCGGGGGTGGCGGCTCGGCCTGCGGCTTGGCCCGGGCGTGGCGACCGCGGGCCGAGGCGGAGAAGACGCTGTGGAAGGTGAGGCGCCGGCGCCGGCCGCCGCCGCGGCACTTGGGGTCGGGCGCAGCCGCGTGTAGGGATGTAGACCGCGGCGACTCGGAGTCTTTCTCGGAGCCCATGGCCCCCAGAGGCCGAGGAGCGAGGGGCGCCCAGCGCCGCCACAGCTCACGCCTCAGCGCCCCCTCAGCCGGCGTCCCGAACGCCGCCGACTCAGCCGCCCTCCCAGAGATAGAAACCGAACGGCAGCGACTAAGTGGTTATAAAGCCTCCGCCCCGCGCGCCGCTGCCCACTGCGCAGGCGCCTCACGAAGACACCTCACAACCCGCGCCGCCCCGCCCGGGTGGGGGCGCTGGGCGGGGCCGAGCGGGGTGGGGCGTGCTGGGCGTGCTAGAGCGGAGCTCCGCCTCCTCGGGGGTCAGGTGATTCCAGGACCTCCATCTTGAGGAGACGGTAACCCAACTGCTTTTTAGACCTCCTGCTACAATACCTTCTCCCCGACCCTCGTCATCCATAAGGTGGAGTTTTCGGTTTGCCTTTCCTCAAGGATGGGCCGATTGCCACTTGCAGCAAATGATACTTCAGTTACTCCATCTGTAAAAAGCAGATAAGGGTAAATCAGATGGTGACTCCAAGCTGGTCCACCTTCCGACACTTCTTTTGTTGTTGTTTATTAAGCTTTAATTAATAAAGAGTATATTCATTGAGCATCTGTTAAGTGGAGGCATTACTAGATAAGACAGACGGGGTCCCCCTATCTGCAAGAGAATTATAGAACAAAGTCCAAATCCCTTAATCTAACATTCAGTGGTCTCTGTGAGCTAATAAACTATTGCTAGGCCCACCTCCCATTCTTACCTCCCGGTAGCTTCGTTACTTACAATTTGTAGAAGGAGGCCCAGCATTTTTTTGCCTGAAAGTGCCTTTCTTTTGCTGGTTCCCCACTGCTCTGACCGGGGGAAGATCTGGATTCAGACTTACAAATGCGAGGCAAGCAAGCCACTTTAACAGCAATGGGAATGTATCAGTTAGGATTATACTCAGTTGCAAATAACAAAAGAAAAAAAATGACTTACGATAGAAATTTATTTCTCTCTTTGTGAAAACTAAGTCGCAAAGTAGGCAGTTCAAGGCTGCTCTACCATCCTCAGCACTTGGTTTCTAATCGTAAGATCATCTCATTATGGTCCACATTCCAGACAGTGGGGAGGGAAAAGAGAAGAAAGGTACACTATTTTGCTTTTAAGAAGACTACCTGGAAAGTCTGGCACGTTTGTGTTTACATCTCATTAGCCAAAGCATCGTCACATGGCCAAACTGGCACATGTAGTTTTCTAACTGGGCACAATGGGCCCCTAAAAATGGGTGCTCTGTTATTTTTTGTTTTGTTTTTGTTTTGTGGTACGCAGGCCTCTCACTGTTGTGGCCTCTCCCGTCGCGGAGCACAGGCTCACGGATGCACAGGCTCAGCGGCCATGGCTCACGGGCCCAGCCGCTCCACGGCATGTGGGATCTTCGCGGACTGGGGCACGAACCCATGTCCCCTGCATCGGCAGGCAGACTCTCAACCACTGCGCCACCAGGGAAGCCTGGTGCTCTATTGTTAAAAAGAATGGTGGAATGAGTACTGGAATGTAACCAGCTGTCTTTTTCATGGGTGGTATTTAAAACCATGAGAAAGGTCCCCAGGAACAAACCCTGAGAAAGTTCAGACTCATGAGGTAAAACAGTGGAAGAGGAGCCAGCAAAGGAAACTGAGAAGCAGGGGTTGTGAGATAGGAGAAAACTCAAGCTGGCATGATGTCACAGACACCTAGATAAAATGTTTCCGGGGGGGAGTGGTCAATTGTGACAAATCCCACTGAGAAATGGAGAAAGATAACAGAAATGACCGCTGGATTTGGCAATACCAAAGAGTCCCATAAGGAGGAGAAATGTTTCTCCTCAAGGAGGAAGGAGATTTGATGCTGGATGGCTAAACCACAATTAACTTCTGTATATTGGACAGAGTAGGCTAGGTTTTGCTGTGGTAACAACTCATATCTCAATGCCTTAACACATTGATATATTTTCCCCACTCATACAAAGCCTGCTATGAGGCAAGGCAGTCTCTGGGTCACTCAGAAGTCTGGACTGTACCACCTCAACCCAAGGCTTTCAGGATTGCCTCAATAGGGGAAAGAGAGCTGGAGGGTTGTGCACCATCAATTCAATACTTCAGCCTGGAAATGACACGTGTTACTTCCACTCACAGACTACTAGGCAGAAAATGTCATACAGGCCCAGTTTAATTGCAAAGGAGGCTGGGAAATGTAGAGGGGGGTGAGGCATGGACTATTTAGTAAGTGATGTTATCTCAGCCACAGTTCCCTATAATCACTGTTGACTTTGTTCTAGGTGCCCAATGTCCTGAGCGGTTGCAGAGCCCCCTTCGAGGAGCTGTGTGCCTGTGGTATGGATGAAAGATGGGGGAGAAGTCTGCCTTGTTCCTTGGGTCAGATTGTGCTGAAGGAGATGGGGACCTCTGATTCCAGGCAGACCCAGCTGGCTTTGAGATGCTTCCTCTTGTGCAGCTGACAGAAACAGCTGTCAGAATCCTAGCTTGCTGAAAAGCTCAATGCACCGAATGTTTGCTTTTCTTGGCTCTGGTTCCCAAACAAACTCTGCCTCAGCTCAAAGCTGCCACCATCAGTGCTTTGGCAGAAAACTGACCTCTCATAAATGCCACTGGACTTTGCTATGGCCCCATTTCTCCTGGGTTTTGTCTCCTGAATCCATCACCCGTGAATCAAGGGACTAAAGCAATTCCTCCCACTTTTTCCTCTGTGTCTCCACTTGATACAAGCTGAGCAGTGACTCAGGGAGATGACATGAGAGAGAAGGATTCTCACTTATCTATTCACTCATTCAGTAAACATTCATTATACTTTGTGGAAGGCTCTTTGCCAGGCACTATGGTCATAGAGATGAAGCACAGTCCAATAGGGGTGGCAGACAAGAAAGCAGGTCATTGGGATACTAAGTGATAAGGTCATGTACAAAAAGCTGTGACAGGCCAGAGGAGGGCATGGTAAGCCTTGCTGAGGGTGGTGAGGGATGGCTGTCCTGAAGAAGAGCCCTTTGGATTGGGTCTCAAAGGATGAGTTAGAGTTGACAAGTTGTAAGAAAGAGAAAGGACATTCCTAACTGAGGGAGCCTGAAAGAAAGGCATAGCGGGACAAAGGCTGGATCAGCCTGAGGAAGTGTGAGCAACAGGGTGTGACAGGAATAGAGAATGTTTGAAAGCCTGTGTGAGAGAAGAGAAAATGGAAAGGTTCTGTATTATGACTCCATTGGATGCAAGGAAAAGAAGCGCAACGTAAACTAGCCTAGGCCAAAAAAGTGATTTGGGGCTCATGTAACCCTTTGAGACAAGTACTACAGCTACTGAGCCCTTGGTCATGGGGGATGGGATGCCATGATTGAAAGTCCCCACCTGGAACGTATGGTTGGACCAGGGGAAAGGGCAATTCTTATGTTTTCACAAGAAGGGAGGGGTCAAACATGAGCAGGTAAAATATGAAATGTTCACCAGAGATAGGCTGGGGCCAGGTCACCAGGAGCCTTGAATGCCAGCCTGAGAACTTCAGCCTTTATTCTGTTAAGCAGTAGGGCACTGTGGAAACATTCTGATCAAGGAGAGCCATATGTACAATGGAGGTGGCCTGGAAAGCCTGCTCTTTCTTTACTTGAGGCTCTACTTTTGGGCTTTCTCTTGCCTTTCCAGGTTGCTTTGAAAGCTAATTTTAATCAGATGTCACCTGAATACTGCTGGGCCCCAGCTCCTTCCTCTGGCCTCAGGAGTGATCTACCTGTTGTTACCCCTAATTATTCCCTCTGGATCAGGAATGGTGAATGCCACTGGCCTAGTCAGTTTGATCTGGGTGGCCTCCTATCTCCTAGGTTTCCTGGCCCTTCCCCCTCCCTACCTGCCTCAGTGAATGGCCTCCCCATCCACCTGGAAGTCCTCCTGCCTCTGACCTGTCCTCCAAGCCCCATATCCAAGTCTTATTTACTCCAAAGTGCTTATGGAACCTCACTCCGGTTCAGGCCTCATCATCTCTCTTGCCTGGACTTTGGCCCCAGCTCCCCTCAATTGGTGTCTTTTGTGAAACCATCTGCTCATGTCAACCCCTCCTCAAAAAACTTTCTACAGTTCCCACTGCCAGCCTCATCTCCTTCCATGCACCTTGCTTCTTTGCAAATGCTAGTCCCTCTGCTTATAATCCCATGCATAATTCCAGGTTCATTTCCATGGTCACCACCTCCCTTTCTACTTTCAGACTCACCTCCCTCCCTCTCTGGTGTCCCCAGGGCATGATGTAGATAACACCAGTGTCACACCTATTACTAGGATGACCACATGATTTACTGTCCAAACCCAGGACACTTTTGAGAATGAAAGAGAATGCTATTATCAATTGCCCTGGTTCAACAGGTGTCGATCAGTCTGTTCCTGGCAAACTAGAAGGTACGGTTATCCACCTACACCCGACATTGTCATAAAACCTCGCACTTGGTGCTTTCATATCTCTCAGCCCAAGAATGTTATCCCCATTTTTAAGATAAGGAGGTGAAGCCTCAGAGAGAGAAGAGACTTGTGGTCACACAGCCAGAAGGCAGCAAAGCTGGCCCTGGAGGTCAATCATCAGATTTCAAATCCTGAACTCTTCTGACTCTAGAGGTTGGTATGGGCCACCACCCCTGACTCCCCAGTACCTCAGAGTCTTACTGTCTAGGTTAGTCATGTGTGGTCCCCCCTCCCCAGATGTAGGGGGAAGGTAGAAATGCAGTCTTACTCATCTTGTGCACTGGTCCCGCCCAGCACCTGGTGTAGAGAAGGTCTCAGGGTGGGTTTGTTGGATAGATGACTTCTTGAGGCTAGAGCTGTGTGTTTCATCTTAAAATCTGAGCCCCTTTTCCACATCTAGTACAGTACTTGCTGTGCATCTCTTCCTTCAGTTAACACTTATTAAGCACCTACTATGTGCCTGGTACGGTGCTGGTGATACAGCAATGAGCAGAATAGATAAGGTCCCTGTTCTCATGGAGCTCACTTACAGTCCAGTGGAAAAAACTGTACAAAAACAATCACAAATAAACATAGTTACAAATCAGGATAAATACTAAGGAAAAATACTGGGTACTGAGTTTGAAGAACTATTTTGGAGTTAAATTTAATAGGTTTTTGTCATAGATTTGATGGAGGA